GTCAGTGAACACAATCCACCGTGCCATCCGCCGTTGCCAGCTGAAACTCTACAGTGCAAAGAGGAAGCCATTTCTAAGCAAGCTCCACAAGCTCAGACATTTGCACTGGGCCAGGGGTCATTTAAAATGGAGTGTGGCAAAATGGAAGACTGTTCTGTGGTCAGATGAGTCACGATTTGAAGTTCTTTATGGAACACTGGGACGCCATGTCATCCGGACCAGAGAGGACAAGGATAGCCCAAGTTGTTATCAACGCTCCGTTCAGAAGCCTGCATCACTGATGGTATGGGGTTGCATGAGCGCTTGTGACTTGGGCAGCTTGCATGTCTGGAAAGGCACCATTAATGCAGAGAACTATGTTCAGGTTCTAGAACAACATATGCTCCCATCTAGACGTCATCTCTTTCAGGGAAGACCTTGCATTTTTCAACACGATAATGCCAGACCACATTCTGCAGCAATCACAACATCATGGCTACGTAGGAGAAGGATCCGGGTACTGAAATGGCCAGCCTGCAGTCCAGATCTTTCACCTATAGAGAACATTTGGCGCATCATAAAGAGGAAGGTGTGACAAAGAAGGCCCAAGACGATTGAACAGTTAGAGGCCTGTATTAGACATGAATGGGAGAGCATTCCTATTTCTAAACTTGAGAAACTGGTCTCCTCTGTCCCCAGACGTCTGTTGAGTGTTGTAAGAAGAAGGGGGGATGCCACACGGTGGTAAAAATGGACTTGTCCCAACTTTTTTGGGATTTGTTGATGCCATGAAATTTGGAAACAACACATTTTTCTCTTAAAATGATACATTCTCTCAGTTTAAACTTTTGATCTGTGATTTGTGTTCTATTCTGAATAAAATATTAGATGTTGGCACCTCCACATCATTGCATTCAGTTTTTATTCACAATTTGTTTAGTGTCCCAACTTTTTTGGAATCCGGTTTGTAAAATATTGACTGTGAAACGTGACTGATCTATTTGGTGTGGGAAAGTTCACATGATGATTACTGTGAGCAGAAATGTCCAAATATTTTAAATTAAATCTGACTTGGATGATGATAACTTCAAATTAGGATAAATTACTATATCATATCCACACTAATGTGCTAAATTAATCTGATCTGTCCTTATACTACTAAACTGAGACATTAAACATGATTTTCATGTAAAAATAAATAAATAAAAGGACTTGAAAAAACTTGATTGTAAAGCTTTGCACCTTTGTATTTAAGATGAGAATGTGCCATTAGTTTGTCCACCACCATATGCATATTCTTCAGATTTCTTGGACAGAAATCCTCCCGTCTGGCTTTATTCTGGACAAAAACTGAACAGAGGGCAAACAAAATACATAAAAAAAGAAGAATACAGCTGTGCACAAACATGATGAAACTTGTGTATCTATTTATGCTCTTAGCAAATTGGCACCTATATGAGGGTAGTACTCTGCTCCATCATCGCTGCCTGAAGAGCCGGTGCTGTCGTGGCTTGCAGATGGAGTGGAAGGTTTCAGCATCTCAGCAGTTTGAAGAAATCTATCAGCAAACATAATAATAACCCACAGCACATACTGTCATGTCAGCATACAGAATTATGACAGAGTTACAACAGTTTAATATAAGTCCTACTAATGTTCAGTGGGGTGTTTTTTTTGTGTGTTTTTTAAGACAACACGGAAAACACAGAAAAAGAGGAAAAGTTTAGGTCGGCCACAAGCCAGCAAAGATGCTCTTGAAAGCACCAAGTGTCTGTTTAATCGAAAACGTCTGTGTCCCTTTGTGACTACCAAATCAATCAGGTGTGAACACCTTCCTCAGACTAGTTGCATCATGCCCTCAAACCTTGCACACTGCAAGCGGAAAGAGACGCATGGGAGGTTTCAAGAGGCTACTTACAACAAGAAAATATTATTACCGGTACATCCGTTAAAATATAATAAAAGTATATATACAGTAGTCCCTCGCTAGTTCGCGTTTCGACTTTTGTGGACTCGCTATATCGCGGTTTGTCAACGCACATTAACATCTTTTATGAAATAAATTAATAAAAATTGTACAGCGCAGTACACGATACACAATTGTCAACTTTACAGTAATACTACTGTACTCACGTGGTTGGGGAAAAAGTTGAAAAATAAAATAAATAAATTCGGACAGGCGTCACCATTTTGTAGTTTTCTTTCAATCAGCCTACACAGTAATTGCCACTCATAAGAACTGCATTGCCCATAAGTCAGTACTGCACTGTAGTGCCTCTGGCCGCTGCTTTCTGCTGAACAGAAAGCGAAGTCGTGACTGCTGAGCCGGCTTATCTAACGTAAGATTTTAATCATGTCACTTGGACAAGTTTCTTTAAGAAAATTAAACTTTACAAACTTAATTCACAAGAAAGAAATCAGGTCAGGACATGTCTCTTTAAGAAACAGAGCATTGTGCTATGTAAACCAGGTGCTGATTGGCTGCACAGAACAGGACCCCCAGACTCACTGGTGGACACGAGAGATCCTAGCTGGCCCACGATGGCTTCCAAGCGGGGACACGCCGCTGAAGGTCCGCCGCTGTTTCTGGAGCCCATCTGGACATTTTTCATCTCTCAGGTCAGCGTGGAACCGAGCCACTGCTGTTCTGCAGAGCCTGGTAAGTAAAATTTAGTAGCTACCTATACAGTACTGTACGGTACGTATGTTGTTAAAATAACGTAGATTTAAGAGTTTAGAACATTTCAAGAGTGTTGGAAGAGTTTCTAAAGCCTTAAAATATATAAATACAAAAATAAATATAATGTCGCTACTTTGCGGAATTTCACTTGATGGTGGGGGGGGGGCTTGGACGAGGGACAACTGTATGTGTGTCTGTGTGTGTGTGTGTATATATATATATATATATACACACACACAGTATATATAGGCCTGTCGCAATAAACAATAAATCAATTAATTGTATGATAAATGAAAATTGTCAACCTCATTTTCATTTATCGGCTTTATCGTTTCTTTGTGTCTCTCTCTTTCTACTGAAGACACTGGATGACAAAAGGCTCAACTCCGGTGCTCTTCACTGACCCCTCTTTCTCTCTTCTCTTAAAAATCCGTTATAACCATCCAAAGTTTTGTTTTTGGATCGTTAAAAGCAGCTAAGCTGAGAAGCTATGAGATAAGCTAACAGGCCGACCTCGGGAAAAACCTGTCTTGTCGAAGCTCCAAAATTCACGGTTGAAACTCGTGCCTTCGTGTAAAAAGTTTTTTCGCTGCAAAAAAAAGCTGAGAACTTGTTTACTGATTGTTTTATTAAAAGCTTTATGTGAAAAATGCTATGATCAAACCACACAGAGCATCCGCCATTTTGAGAACTGAAAAAGAGGAACGAGAGACAGCCCATGTTACGTCAAGAGGCCTCCCTCCCATTTTTTTTAAAGAGACACACTGCTCGCTCCCTCACTATCCATCCTTTGGTTCACAGTGTTGTACTACCATCTAGTGGTCAAAAAAGACAATACACCCAAAAATTAACCAACATTTCTTCTTAAATTTGACAATAATTACTAATTATTGTCAAATTTCAAACAATA